TTCAACAATCTTGACCATAGATTCAATTTTTCTAGAAGGTTTATAAAACCATGTCTAAGTCATAAGATCAGTTTTCTTCTTCAGTTTTCTTCTTTTGAGGTGATCATTTTTCCATCTTTTAAGAATTCGATGTTGGATTGTTTAATCCAAAAACCTATGTTGTGATTTCAAGTCACACGCTGTTTTCTACCATATCTTTTTAAACGTAGTTTAACCATATTTTTTTTTATAAATACTTATGATAACCTGAAGGTTATCACGATTTCCGTGCCAATATGTACTACTTTTCTTCAAGTTCTATTTCATGCGTTTTTAAGTACTATACTATAAAAATTCTTGAAATAGGAAATTCTTATATCATGCGAGTATATATTTTTCTTTGCAATTTAAGTAGTTTTATGATTTCTTCTTTATGCTCTCATTTCATGAGAGCATAAAAAAGCTTGTGCTTGTAGATGTTTAAGCTATATAAATTTTCTTATTATGCATTTAATGCTTCTTTAGCAGCATACATCACTTCTACAGTAATTTTTGTCATACCATTTTGTCTTGCGAATTTTTCAGTATTTCTCTTGATTTTGCCTCGTACAAAACCTGGAATTCTGCTTAATTCAGCCTGACTGTCTGGATCCCAAGTTAGATCACTGTCAGTAGATAGTGATTTTGTAATAACTTCTTTGGTATCATGACCACCAAAAATTTCTAGAAGATGATCTTCCATACCTAATGTAAAAGAATTGTAAACCAAATCAGCTATCTGATTAGTTCCTTCATATCCTAGGAATGGTCTGTAACCAAGAGGAAAATTTTGTATATGGACTGGTGCAGAAATAACTCCACATGGAATATCAAGACGTTTTCCAATATGGCGTTCCATTTGACTTCCAAAAATTGCTGCTGGTTCTAAACGTGCGATCATATCTCCTACTTCAGTATGATCATCAGTGATAAGAACTTCATCACAATATCCTTGTACTTGTTCTCTAAACCAATCTCCATCATGTTTAGAATATGTACCTGCACATACAACATAGACACCCATTTCTCGTGCTAAAATTTTAGTCATTGCAGCTGCATGAGTAGTGTCACCAAAAACAACAGCTTTTTTCCCAGTTAGGTTTTGACAGTCAATTGAACGTGAAAACCAAGCAGCTTGAGAAACAAATCTGGTTTGTTGATCAATATAAGGCTCGTAATCAACTTGTTTATCTGCAGGAGCCAATTTATTGATGTGTGCTTGAATTTCGCGGATACATTCAGCTGTACCAACTATTCCCATAGGAGTAGTTGCAACATAAGGCATACCAAATTCTTTTTCTAAATACAAAGCTGTCATTAATCCCACTTCACGATATGGTACAAGATTTAACCAAGCTTTTGGTAAATTACGTAAATTTTCTACAGAACCACCTTCTGGAATAACTTCATTTACTTGGATTCCTAAATCTTGTAATAATCTCTTTAATTCTCTGCAATCGTGTTGATTATGAAAACCTAAAGTAAATATCCCAATAATGTTAACAGAAGGTACATCTGTGATAGTTTGATTTAAGGTACCTTGTCTTCTGGCTTTATCAAGATAATATCGGACTACTTGTTCTAATGTACGATCTGCTGCTTGTAATTCATTTACACGATAATGATTAACATCTGCTAGAATAACATCAGATTGAGATGCCATAGATGCTCTATCTACAAAGTTTTGTAGATCTTCTTGTAAGATACTAGAAGTACATGTTGGAGTTAATACAATTAGATCTGGACGTTCTTCTTTGTCTTTACGAGTAATGTTTTCTACTACTTTTTCCTGAGATCCACGCGCTAATACATGACGATCTACTATGCTAGCAGTTACAGGAGTAAAATCTCTTTCTCTTTCTAACATAGAACGCATAACATTGAAATAATCATCTCCTAATGGAGCATGCATAATTGCATGTACATTCTTAAAAGAACTTGCTACGCGAAGAGTACCAATATGAGCTGGCCCAGCATACATCCAATAAGCTAGTTTCATGAATCAAATCCTCTCTTATCAAATAAATAGGATAACCTGTTATTATTGTACATCACAACGTAATAGGTTGCTATGTTAGAAGTCAAAAGTAATAAGTATAAAAAAGAAGTATATCGGAAATTTTATAATGTTTCCTTCTTGTTTTGAAAAAAATTGATCTATTTCCTTTTGATGAAAAAAATGAATAAAAAAAATTAGATATCTAAGATATAGAAGATATATAACTGTAAGGAAGATAGTAGAAAGTTAGTTTCTGTATTGCTCAGGCGGAAGGATTCGAACCTCCGAATAGTGGGGCCAAAACCCATTGCCTTACCACTTGGCTACGCCTGATCTATTCTTGAATAGTAATATAGTTAACCTTATTAATAAGAAATGTGTCAAGTCAAAGAATAATTGATATTGTAAAAAGTAAAATACAACCTAACTTCACAATGAGTTATGTTATCACCTCTTCCAAGCTGAGAGAAGCTGTAGTAAGATGTGCCATTGAGTTAGATTTACTTCACGGAGTACCTTATTGGGAACTTCCTGTCGCTTACAGTTACCTATTGGAGAATCCTTATGTTAACCATGTCTACTGCTATGGTATTGGCTAAGCTACCTGAAGCATATGCTATCTTTGATCCGATTGTGGATGTTATGCCTGTAATTCCTGTATTTTTCTTGTTGTTGGCATTCGTTTGGCAAGCAGCTGTAAGTTTTCGTTAATCTTATTACCTACTGCTCTTGTACAAGTTTTTCACTGGAATGTTTATGCCATCAAGTGTGATGTGACCTCAGTGGCTCTTTGAAAAGAGCCTTCTGTGGGCCAGCTATTTTTTTGTATTTTGTATATCTGGTAACATTGTATTAATAAATGATAATCAATAATCATTTTTTCTAAATTTATTTGTCTACAACCAGGAATTAATACAAGTCTTTCTTTAGACAAAATCAGAATTCTCATCTGAAATCAATAAAATAGTAGTAATCCATGGCTATGATTGGATTGACAACAATGATTGTTTTATCCCTTCTATTTCATTTATTTTGAAATGAATCTGGGTTAATAGTAACAAATATGTCAAATAGAATTTGCTATAATACATAGATAAAGCTGGATATTCGCAAGCAACCAATTACAACTTCTTACCGACTCTTCAATCTAAGCTAATGCTTAGCATTAGGGAGAAATGGCAGAGTGGTTGATTGTGACGGTCTCGAAAATCGTTTTAGCTTTAGCTAACGAGGGTTCGAATCCCTCTTTCTCCGTCAGTCAGGTTGCTAGTCAGATGATTTAGGAATCTGTAATTGTGTAAGATATATAGATTTACATATTCCAACTACTAATTCAAACAGTACCAAGGGAAAAGTTCAGATCATGATTTATTCTAATCAATTACTGTTGTGAAACATATTGTAATATTTTTGTAGTGTTACCATAAATCTTTCCCAATTCTATCTTAGTTCAAGTAATGATTTTGGAGGCTCTTTTATGCTTACCCTTAAACTATTTGTTTATACAGTGGTTATCTTTTTTGTTTCTCTATTTCTATTTGGCTTCTTATCTAGTGATACTAGCCGTAACCCTGGACGTAAGGAATAAGCATTTATATTGCAAAATAAATGTTTCCAAATGATTTTACAGGGAATATTTTTTTTTCATAAACGGAGAGAGAGGGATTCGAACCCTCGGTACGTTTGAGTCGTACAACGGATTAGCAATCTGTCGCTTTCGACCACTCAGCCATCTCTCCAACGGTATGCATTTACTGAAGCTAGTCTACCATGTGAATGCAACTAAGTCTATGTATTTTTTACAGAAATACATAGCCTCCTATGTATTTCATATAAGTAATAAGAGGAAGGTTGACTTAAAAGTTGCTAATGAAATTATTGATGCTCATATTGAAAAACTCTTTTTCTATGTGACAAAAATTTCCTAGTAAAATTCATGATATTCTGTAAATAAGAAGTATTCTATTCTGATTCATTCAGATGTGTAAGCGAGGGCGCCCTATGGGCGCACCTGAGGTTAGTACTAAGAATAGACTATTTTAGTTTTCAAAGGAATAACGAATATTTTTAGATTTATCTATATAATTCTTTTCCTAAGCGTAACGCTAAGATACCTGTTACGAAAGCGCTAACAAGAGCTACAACAATCTCGCTATCAGAAAGTAATGTCATTAGTGTCATTTTGTTTCATCCTTCTCTTATTCACACTACCAAAGAGTGTGACTCTGATTTTTCATCTTTGGAACCAATGGTACCATAGGATGCTGGCTTGCATTGACGCATAGCTTGTTCCTCATTGTATGCATCTTGTTCGCCCCTGGCTACTATTCTATATACTTTAATATAGGTGAGAAGAAAGATTCTCTAACAAAGCTGGTTAGACTACACAATACCAAGATTCATTCTACAATATATCTGTATCTAATCTACAATACTCTATATTATTAGAAAAGGTAGTGAGCTTGTAATATCTAATTGAAATTAAGAGGTTAAAAGAGCATGAATTTAGAAGTAGTTGCACAACTAACCGTTTTGGCTTTCATAGTTCTTTCAGGTCCTTTAGTTATTGCTTTGTTAGCAACTCGCAAAGGCAATCTATAAGTCGGTAATTGACTTTAGTTTCTTATATATCTTCTATTAAATAGCCGTCTGTACATTGTTTATGCTTGTCCTATCATTGACAGGCGGCCTTTCTTTCAAAAAAGAAAAAAGTATATGAATAGTTTTTTTTTTTTATAAGAAGATAATGGAATTTCGAATCTTCCCTTCAATTGATTTAATTGAATTTTTAGTTATAGCACACAAAATGTCCTTTGATTTAAAAAATCATTTCTAACGAAAGAAGATATAGCAAAAGCATACTGAATATGGGCCGAGCTGGATTCGAACCAGCGCAGGCATTGCCGACGGATTTACAGTCCGTTACCATTAACCACTCGGTCATCGACCCTCTATGCCGATGACAATGTCCAATCATGCCTACTGTACTATAGAATAAATAGAGATTGGCTGGTAAAAAAAAGATTGGCTGGTCAATCAAGGCATAATTTTGTATAAAAAATCTTTACTTTAGAAGAAAGTATTAAGCTTTGTGGTACTCTATTAGTACTATAAAACTCATTATATACTTGGCGTAAAAAACGCAATAGAGAAAAAAGCCAAGCTACCCCCAGGGGAATTTGAATCCCCGTCGCCTCCGTGAAAGGGAGGTGTCCTAGGCCTCTAGACGATGGGGGCCTAACTGAACCTTTGTTATATCTTACTCTATTCTGTAGAATATGTCAATAGGAAAGAAGAAAGAAATTCTTTTTCAAAGAAGAAATAAATGGCATGTTTATTCTATTTCTTATAAAAAAGACAATAAATTCTTGATTCAAAATTCCCATTTATCTAGAGAAAAGGTTTTTTTATACATCCATATTCTCTTTCAGTATATAGAGAAATATCTTCTGTAAGTATTTTTAGATGTCCAGCGATCATTCTTGAGAAAAAATCTTATAAAGAAAAAAACATTTTTTTCAAGATTTTTTCTTTCTAGAAAGAAAAAATTAGTTCATCCCATTCAATTGATTTATAGTTTTTATTTAAAGAAGAAATAATAACAAGTTTTCTAATTGATCATAGTCAGAAATCTTACAGGTTAATTTATTTAAGAGAATTTTTCTGTTTTTCTATTCATATATTGAAGATTTTTTTGTTTTTGTTATATATCTTGTAAGGCTATATGTAGTAACTACTGAAAAAAAAAGAATTTTCATTGTTTTTTCAAAAAATCTCAAGGGGGTTGACAGATCTCTTAATCATAACATATTCTTTACGTGTTATGTTACATATAAGCCCTTTTAACTCAGCGGTAGAGTGACGCCATGGTAAGGCGTAAGTCGTCGGTTCAAATCCGATAAAGGGCTCATACTCTGCTATTCTCATAGCAGATTTTTTTGAAAAAGTTTTTTTCAATTATGTATAATTTCTATATTGTTTTTACAAACAAAAGATTCTGTATTTCTTATTTATTTAATAAAAGAAATAGTATGTGAAAGATATTTATATAAATCATAAAAAAGAATAAATATAGATTATGAAAAGTAATAAATCTTATTGGCATTGTTGAATTTATATCATATAAATTATTTTCTACTATAATAAGACAATACAGTTATGCTTAGATAGACTCTAGATTCTTAATAGATTATATTGATTCATTAATAATGAAATATCAGCAAAAAATTGCAGATGTTAATATATTACGTAAAATTAACAACAATTTATCTGAACGAAGTTTATTACAACCGTTTGAAAAAGTTTTAATTACAGTTTCTGGTGGACAAGATTCAATATGTCTTTTGAGGATTTTCTATGATTTAGAAAAGAAATGGGAATGGCGATTGGGTATCGTACATTGTGATCATAGATGGAATCCTAGTTCTATATTACAATCAAAACATATAGCCAAGTTAGCTACGAGTATGGAAATTGATTACTATCAAGCTGTAACTATAGAACCAGTAATGCAAGAAACTGTTGCACGACATTGGCGTTATCAAATTCTTCAAACTATTGCAATTGATAATGGCTATACTGCTGTTGTAACAGCTCATAGTGCAAGTGATCGTATTGAAACATTAATATATAATTTAATTAGAGGGAGTGGTTTAGAAGGTATTCAGTCATTAAGTTGGAAAAGAAAACTTACTTATCTACGATATCTTCCATGGAAAAATTGGATGCTTACTAAAACAATCTCTTCTAGAATTTTAAAATATGAAAAATCTTCTCATAAGATTTTTCTTTATAAAAATATCATCTCTTTACAATTAATTCGTCCATTATTAGATCTTACACGTACAGAAATTCGAAAATTATTAAATGATTGGTCTTTTCCTGCTTGGCCAGATCCTAGTAATCGTAGTGTTCGAATAAGTAGGAATCGGATTCGTCATCGATTGATACCTTATATCAGATTGCATTATAATCCTCAATTTGATCAAGCCTTAGCTAAATGGTCAGAAATTGTACATGCTGAAAACATTTATCTTACACGTCTTACTTGTTCTATCCTTGCAAAAGTTCAAATTGATGTTTCTAAGAATATACCGAAAATACCTAGTCATGGTATCAGTATTCCATTGTTTCGTTCTTTTCCTCTAGTTTTTCAAAGACGTATCTTAAGAAAATTTATATACGAATATATTGGAAAAAATTTAAGTTTTGATTACATTGAACATATTAGGTTATATTGTCTTGGAATAAATTCTTCTCTCTATTCTTTTCAAAAAAAAAAGAAACAAGACAATGTTTTGTTGAATTTTCCTTGTCTTTTTTTACCTGGTGAAGCTAAATTACTAATTGTAGATAAAATTATTCTGTGTGTATTTAATAGAAAATATTTTCAAGACCAAGAGGTGGTTACTTAAAAAAGGATCAAGTATATGGTATATATATGGGGGCAGAGGGACTTGAACCCTCACAATCTGTACGATCTACGGATTTTCTTCCTACTGCAATTCTCATTGCGGCTTTTTATCAGCTTGTAGGATGGACTCTCCCTTTATTCTCGTCTAGTAAAATTTTTTGAATAGATTCTTTTTATGAATAAGAAAATTCACTATCGTTAGAATAGCTTCCATCGAGTCTCTGCACCTTTCCTATATTGTTTTCTATATTTTTAGGATTTGGCTCAGGGTTACCTTGTTATGGATCATCCTAGGTTTCTCTGAATCTGAAAGCTTTCACTTATTAAGTTTCCTTAGTAAGGCTCAATTATTTGTTAAGTCCGTTGCGTCTACCAATTCCGCCATGCCCCCATAGTTTCTTGGTATCTTATTATATGAGGTTTTTTATACAAATTACAAGTGATATGTTTAGAAACATAGAAGTGATCAAATTTGTCTATTTGCTCCTACCATTTCCCTAGGAAAAAAATGGTGTTTAGTCAATATTCAACCAGATTGAATCAATCTAGAAAAAAACTTGAAACTTGTCTTAGTAGATAGAACTCATAACATTCAAGTTCCTAAAGGAAATATCAGGAATGTCATTTGTATTTTGATAGAAGATAATTGCGAATTCTATTATTTTGTGTATAATTAGTTTGTTCATTATGTAAATATATGAATTGTCAAATAATTGGTAATACTATACCATATATTCATATATATTCTATTTCTAAAGCCTGCTTAGCTCAGAGGCCAGAGCGTCGCACTTGTAATGCGATGGTCATCGGTTCGACTCCGATAGCAGGCTCACTAAGAGCTTAAATTTTCATTGATTTCTACAAGAAAATTGATTTTTATTTAAAAAAACTTACGCAAGATCTTATTCTATGAAATAGAATAAGATTTTTTTGTAGTATTTTGTTTTCTAAACAATCCCTCATAAATTTCTTGCATATCTATTGATTTAATTAATGAAAAGATATTCTTTTTTGATGAAATGAAAACATTTTCATATTTTTTGAAATGAAATTATATGGTACTATTGACTAGAAACCAAAAATTTTCTTACTTTTTTTTCTGATGGATTCAAAGTAAGAAAATAGATTTAACAAATAACAAAGATGAGATTCAGCAAAACAATCTTATTTGTTTTATATTCATCAAATTTTTTATAAAAAAAGGAGAAATTATGTCTCGTTATCGAGGACCTCGTGTCAAAATTGTACGTCGTCTTGAAACACCATTACCAGGTTTAACTTCTTACTCAGTACTTAATACTACACGTGCCAATACCCAATCTGCACGTAAAGATAAATCTGAATATCGTATTCGTTTAGAAGAAAAACAAAAGTTACGTTTTCATTATGGTATTACAGAACGTCAATTACTAAGATATGTTCGTATTGCTAGAAGAGCCAAAGGGTCAACAGGTCAAGTTCTTTTACAATTATTAGAAATGCGTTTAGATAATACTGTTTTTCGTTTAGGTATGGCGCCTACAATACCTGCAGCTAGACAACTTGTGAATCATGGACATGTAATGGTTAATGATCGTGTAGTCGATATAGCTAGTTATCGTTGTAAACCTCAAGATGTAATTGTAATTCCAGATCGAGTTAGATCTCGAGTTTTAGTAGAAAAAAATTTAAGTAATTTTAAACAATCAAAATTACCTAGTCATTTACGATTTAATCCTAAAACTTATAAAGCATCAGTAAATCAACTAGTGAATCGCAAATCTGTTGGAATAAAAGTCAATGAACTTTTAGTCGTAGAGTATTACTCACGTCAAGCTTAATATTAATATCTTCACACTATTTCTCCTCTTTTTTCTCTTTTTTTTTTCAAAATCCCTCTTTTATGAGATTCATTCTCTATGTAAGGAAAAAGTCTTGAATGCCATTCATTGTTTTTTAATCAATGGTTCAATGAAACAGTATTTGAATCTTTTTCTTTTTTCAAATTAAGCCTACCTCTTACTAACTTTGCCATATATTTATCTAGATCTTTTTGAAGATACATCTTTGTTTTTTTTCAAAGAAGATAATTAGATTAAGTGTTTTTTGAAAAAAAACAAAGATGTTCTATCTCCTTCTAGTGAAAGCGGAAAGAGAGGGATTCGAACCCTCGGTAGACAAAAGCCTACATAGCATTTCCAGTGCTACGCCTTCGACCACTCGGCCATCTTTCCTTGTCGTTAAGGTAGTCTATATTAGGAATTGTGTCATAGCAACCCTTAGAATTTTTTTTTTTATAAAATTTGGAAAAGAATATGTTCATGTATGAATTGAATTAGTCACAGTCGTTTATGTATACATTACTATACTATGATTTTACATATTTTTATTCAATATATTATAGGCGATAGTTTTTAATACAATTTATATTAAGAAGAATAATTTCAAGGATTTTTTATTTGATTTTTTTCTCATAAAACAGAGATTCTACTTATACTAGTAGTCCTCTTCATTATTTAGAATTTTTAGGTACAATTTTTTAGTAGGCAATATATATATATATATATATTATATATTGTATATTGTATATTGTATATTCTATATTGTATATTCTATATTGTATATTCTATATTGTATATTCTATATTGTCTATTGTCTTTT